TCGAAGTCTTGTTGGGGTTTTTTTTGTCTTGGTCTTGAAAATTTTCGGTCTCGGACGGGATATTATTTTTTCAACCCTCAGGGTGTAACTTATAATGAGGAGCATCTGTATGATCTACCTGTCCAAACATCAACCATTTTGCCAAAAGAACCAAAGAATAAGCAATAAAATCTTTCCCGGTCCTATAACGCTTGTCAATAACCAAACTAGTCATAACTCCACTACTGAATTTTATACTGTGCCAAACATTTGCAATATTTGAACAAAATGTTGGGAGTACTGGACAAAATTTGACAGGAAATATTGCCCTTCCGGGTGATGTGAAAACAATAGGGAAGTTGTAGAGTTGAGGTTGTGTTCTTAAATTTTAGAATTTGAAAAGAGCGTTCTATAGTTTAAAAAAAATTTTTTTGCTGTTCAAAAAGGAATTTGAAATAATATTCGGTAATCATTTAATATTAAAAAATATTGTAAAAAATAAAGGAGCCGAGAAGGTTCGAACTTTGACCCAACTCATCATAGAGTCCGACATTTTAGGTTCCGACCTATTTTTTTTGCAATCTTGTAATGTTGAGTAAAGCTCAAAAAACACTTATTTGGCATGGTACCATGCTCCTACATTGGACCTATTTGAGCCTAAAAAACCTATTTCGGCTTTTTTGGACCTAAAACCTATATGGACCTATTTTGGACCTATTTTAGGACCCCACTTTAAAAACCTAAAAAACCAGAAAAGAAAACTTGTTTTTGGCAATTTAACAGGAACCAAGAACCGGGCTCGAAACCGGCGATACCGAAGACCCGGGGGTACCGTAATAACCGGTCGTGTCCTACCCTAGTTTAAACGACTTTTAAGCAATAACGGAATAGAGACGAGATCTGGGTTATTTAACTCCCCTCCTCTGAATCTTTACTTTCAAGTATTTCGAAAATTTCGACATAAAATATTTTTCTCTACCCTGAGGATGTTCCTTGATGATTGCTACTCGTAGATTGAAAATTATTTTGATTTGGATGATTACGCCGCCGTTTTTTATTGGTGTTGTATGGTTGAATAGACATTTTGTCGTTTAAATATTTTTTATTGTTGTGTTGATAACTATAATTTTAAAAGGAAAATTTTTAAATACTATTATGAGGCCATAATCCGCTTGCGATCGCGTGCGAAGCTTAATTTTGGTGTCATTCAACTCAGCTCCTAGAGCTCTTTCGAATGTCATAGTGATGGATCGAATCGAAGTATGGGAGTTATGGCAGAGTTGGATGGTCTTTGGGTGAGAGGCCGGGTGAATTGGAAATGACGAAGGTGCAGGAAATCGGACCTGTCGGAAATCGGAAATGGCTCAAAAGTTGGAACTCGTAAGTCGGAAATCAGCCTAAATTTTCGGAATTCGGAAATGCTAAAATAATATTTAGTGGTAGCTGCTAAAATAATATTTAGTGGTAGTTTTATATTTATTTTGCCGAAAATTTTTAGCGACCAAAAGGTGGATAGGATTTTATGAGGATGTCTGTTTATCGGTTTCACTTAAGGTTAGCTACCACTAAATATTATTTTAGCAGCTACCACTAAATATTATTTTAGCAGCAACTTCCTTATTTTTAAGCAATTTTATTTGTTTGTTTTTCTTTTCTATGGATGATTTTTTTTCTATTCTTTATAGGTTTTCTATTTAACAAATAAATAATTTTTAAGTACTACTAGTTTCAGAAAATAAATATTTTTAAAGGTTTTTCAAGTAGTATGGCGATCGCCCAAGGCCATCTTTATATCTTAAAATTATAAAATTTGAATTAACCAATTTGGAAAAAAAGTTGCTTGTTAACTTTTTCATGTGGCATTTTGTCGTCTGGCATTTCCGAATTCCGAAAATTTAGGCTGATTTCCGACTTACGAGTGCCGTTTTTTATTGGTGTTGTATGGTTGAATAGACATTTTGTCGTTTAAATATTTTTACCACATGAAAAAGTTAACAAGCAACTTTTTTTCCAAATTGGTTAATTCAAATTTTATAATTTTAAGATATAAAGATGGCCTTGGGCGATCGCCATACTACTTGAAAAACCTTTAAAAATATTTATTTTCTGAAACTAGTAGTACTTAAAAATTATTTATTTGTTAAATAGAAAACCTATAAAGAATAGAAAAAAAATCATCCATAGAAAAGAAAAACAAACAAATAAAATTGCTTAAAAATAAGGAAGTTGCTGCTAAAATAATATTTAGTGGTAGCTGCTAAAATAATATTTAGTGGTAGCTAACCTTAAGTGAAACCGATAAACAGACATCCTCATAAAATCCTATCCACCTTTTGGTCGCTAAAAATTTTCGGCAAAATAAATATAAAACTACCACTAAATATTATTTTAGCAGCTACCACTAAATATTATTTTAGCATTTCCGAATTCCGAAAATTTAGGCTGATTTCCGACTTACGAGTTCCAACTTTTGAGCCATTTCCGATTTCCGACAGGTCCGATTTCCTGCACCTTCGTCATTTCCAATTCACCCGGCCTCTCACCCAAAGACCATCCAACTCTGCCATAACTCCCATACTTCGATTCGATCCATCACTATGACATTCGAAAGAGCTCTAGGAGCTGAGTTGAATGACACCAAAATTAAGCTTCGCACGCGATCGCAAGCGGATTATGGCCTCATAATAGTATTTAAAAATTTTCCTTTTAAAATTATAGTTATCAACACAACAATAAAAAATATTTAAACGACAAAATGTCTATTCAACCATACAACACCAATAAAAAACGGCGGCGTAATCATCCAAATCAAAATAATTTTCAATCTACGAGTAGCAATCATCAAGGAACATCCTCAGGGTAGAGAAAAATATTTTATGTCGAAATTTTCGAAATACTTGAAAGTAAAGATTCAGAGGAGGGGAGTTAAATAACCCAGATCTCGTCTCTATTCCGTTATTGCTTAAAAGTCGTTTAAACTAGGGTAGGACACGACCGGTTATTACGGTACCCCCGGGTCTTCGGTATCGCCGGTTTCGAGCCCGGTTCTTGGTTCCTGTTAAATTGCCAAAAACAAGTTTTCTTTTCTGGTTTTTTAGGTTTTTAAAGTGGGGTCCTAAAATAGGTCCAAAATAGGTCCATATAGGTTTTAGGTCCAAAAAAGCCGAAATAGGTTTTTTAGGCTCAAATAGGTCCAATGTAGGAGCATGGTACCATGCCAAATAAGTGTTTTTTGAGCTTTACTCAACATTACAAGATTGCAAAAAAAATAGGTCGGAACCTAAAATGTCGGACTCTATGATGAGTTGGGTCAAAGTTCGAACCTTCTCGGCTCCTTTATTTTTTACAATATTTTTTAATATTAAATGATTACCGAATATTATTTCAAATTCCTTTTTGAACAGCAAAAAAATTTTTTTTAAACTATAGAACGCTCTTTTCAAATTCTAAAATTTAAGAACACAACCTCAACTCTACAACTTCCCTATTGTTTTCACATCACCCGGAAGGGCAATATTTCCTGTCAAATTTTGTCCAGTACTCCCAACATTTTGTTCAAATATTGCAAATGTTTGGCACAGTATAAAATTCAGTAGTGGAGTTATGACTAGTTTGGTTATTGACAAGCGTTATAGGACCGGGAAAGATTTTATTGCTTATTCTTTGGTTCTTTTGGCAAAATGGTTGATGTTTGGACAGGTAGATCATACAGATGCTCCTCATTATAAGTTACACCCTGAGGGTTGAAAAAATAATATCCCGTCCGAGACCGAAAATTTTCAAGACCAAGACAAAAAAAACCCCAACAAGACTTCGAATCTAGACTCACGACCAAGTGTCTTGGACGTCTTTAATGAGATGTTAGATACTTAGAAGGCAGGGCTGTGCGTCATGGCGTTTTGGCGTGGCGTTTTGGCGTGATTTTTGGCCGATTTTGGCGTCCTGGCGTTTGGCGTGATTTTTTCTTTTGGCGCGCCAAAACGCCAAAATTATACACCCCTAATGATGGGAATTTTCCAAATAAATGGGGGAAGTGTTTTCAAAAAATGAAATATTTTTGCATGCAGCCTTCCAAAATTTTCAAAATTTTCGCCTGCGGCGCACAAAAGGAAAGAAATCTACTTATTATCCTTGGCCGGACTAGGTCTCCCTCCCCTGTTCTCTCCGATAGATTCGATATACTACAATTCTGGGGTTGTGATTTTTCCATTTTTTTTTGCAATTTTTAACAAATTTACATAATTTTGGGTGTAGGCGCTAAAAAAAGGATGAATTTTGGCTTCAAGAAGTCGTGAAAATTCAAAAATTTTCGCCTGCGGCGCTAAAAAAAGATAAACACTGGTTTTTCGGGCCTTAGTAGAATAAAATTTTTGGCGTTTGGCGTTTTGGCGTCGTTTTTGGCCGATTTTGGCGTTCTGGCGTTTGGCGTGATTTGAAAATTTGAAAAATTGGCGTTTGGCTTTTGGCGCGCCACACGAAAATTCTGGCGCACAGCCCTGTTAGAAGGGATAGGATAGGTTGTAATAATACGTCAGATTTCGTATAGAGTTTTTGAAAAAAGTTTTCGTTTGTTTCGAATTGTGGGTCGAAAAAAGAGTGTTTAAGGGACAGGTACCCCACGCCCTATTCTACTTAAGCTTAGGATCTAGGCCCATCCTAAAGGCAAAACTATTATTCTGGGGTCGCTTGTATGAATTCCGACAGTATTATCGTATTTAAGATAATGTTTTGCCTCCGGGTACTTATTTTCAACCTTTCGCTGGTGAGAAGGGTTGGGGATTATTCAGCTAAAATACAGTGGATACGATATGTACAATTGAAGCTCTTTATATCACGTCCCTCCCACTTTATTTCCTTTGTTAGGCAAAAATTGGCCTGAAAAATGACGTTTTGGGTTGGCTTGTGGCCAGGTTTGGCATTGTGACATTTGGAGTTTTTAAGGGGTTGATAACTTGGGTTTGACGTCTGGGCGTCACACGAAAATTGACTCAAGACCAAGAGTCTCGGACGTCTCTAATGAGATGTTAGATAGGAGGGTTGGGATATCGGTTATACGCCCACAAGCGTACAGCCTTGATTACAATTTATTTTTATTTCAGAAAATTCACATTTCTGGGCTTCGTCACTACTCGACAAATCACTTAACTTCAGTTATAGCAATAATAAAGCAATATGGCCCTTTTAGAATTGACAATATAGGCTTTAACTTTCAATTAGTCGATGCTCATTCAATAATCCATTCAATAGTCAGAATCGCCTTTTATTTAAATTCAACAGCCAAAAAACCTCAAAAATCTGTGGAAATTTTTAACGAACCGGATATACACCCAGAGGACTTGTATCATATTAATTTGTGGTGGCTACCGACAAAAAACAACTGCCCTCTTTTCAAGTTCTGGTTGACACTTCGTTTATCTGATGCTTATGGGAAATTGTGTCCGGGTAGGGAAAATAAATAAAATTGAAAATTTTGACTTAAAATTTTTCTCTGGCAAACTTACAAATTTTCTGGGGGGGGGGGGGCAGAAGACTGTCCGACAGGAATGTCACGGGTTGAGAAAAATGTCGGGTCGGGTTTCGGATTGGGGTTTGAAAAAGAAAATTTCTCGCGTCGTAAAAAACACTGGGTTTCGAGTAACCCCCTACAGTTAACCGAACCGAATTTTTCGGTTCGCGTTCTGTTCGGGTTGAATCAACAATCCTAATTATCACAAAAAGTACATTAATAAAAAATGGCCTTTAGGAGGATTTTTATCCATTTCATTTTCATTATTAGGGTTGGTTCCCGTCGCCGAAAGTCGTTGAATTTGAAGGATTTTTCGCTGCCTCCCTGAAAAGCTTTCCCCGTGCCCTCCCCCCGTCGGGGACCAACTCTATTCATTACTACTAATTTTCGAGCTAACAACTCGTTCCCTTGCCATACCTTCAAAATAATTAAAAAATCTCTCCCTTTAAGGTATTAGCTTATCAATTGAATCGGTCTCTTCAAGTCTTTTCCCTATTCCAAAAACTAACGATTTTATGGATGATACAGAAGATGAACAAAATTTAAATGTTGAAAATACAGAATGCCAAAAATTTCCAATTTGGTTTTCCCATTTTATTTCGCTTTTGCCCGGAGAAGAAAAAACTGATTGGGATTGGATTTTTAAACCTTTCCCTTCTCAAGAAGATTTTATCGCTTTATTTAGTGGATTGGAAGGGGAACGAAGACAGGCAAGAATTGATATACCTGTTGAACAGCGTTGGAAAAAGCCTAAAGTTGCTGATCTTGGATGGGAACTTAATTTGATGGGTGATTTTTTAAAAAATTTATTTATTGATTTTAAAATATGGGAAAACTCGGGGGAGCCCTAAGGTACCGTTGGCCAATTTTCCGCGCTCCAAAGGTACCATTACTAGGGTGTTTCAAAATATGCACGAAAAATTTAAAAATATGCGCATGTATATGCACCGAAAAATCCCTAAATATGCACTAAAATATGCAAAATTTCCCAAAATATGCATCGATATGCAAATATGCTCGAAAGTACCGAAATATGCAAAAATATGCTATAGGAACCCGGTCCCTAATGTTTGTACCGATGTAAAAACACCATTTTTGAGCGTTTCAGCTCATGGCATATCCGCATACAAAATATGCATTTGCATGTTTTGAAACACCCTAGCCATTACTTATATCTAACAGCCTTTTGATCAACCATATGGGTTGGAAAGATATATATCACCCAGTATTCGATCATGTCCGATTTCCTTTACCAATAGCTCTCAGCATCTCTAGGAAACGCACATGATATTCCCCACTCTTAACTAGGGAACTCCTACTATCGCTTCCCTATTTAACTGTCAGCAATGGTAGGTATATGTAGTTCAGCAAGTTGCTGAACTCATGACTATCCATCCCCTAGGCCCTGGGTATAAGAAGAAAAGAAATTTTATTAGGGGTGCTTAAGTTACTTCGCATAATTAGAAAGGCAAAGGCTTTAGTGCTATATGAGGCAGATTAGGGACGTAGGAGAAAAGAAGGCATTAATCGTCGCCCTAGTACCTGCATGTGTGCATTTGTGTAGCAACTGCACAAGTTTAAGCCAGGTCGCCCGATCCCTGCAGCATTGCTGCCGTTTCGAATCCTGTTCTGTGGCTAAACTTTTACTTTACTCTTCCTAAGTCCTCATAAAATTTAACTATTTCCAGACGTATTTAACGAAGTTTCCAATATTTGGTTGCCTTTCTCTTTAAATCTTTCTCGTTTTATGAATATGGAATCAATTGAAAACGAAGTTGAAGAAGCTTTTGGATCATTAACCCAAATTTCTCTTCTCTCCAACGAACACGGCATTACCTCTCTTCGAACGTTGCACAAAGTCTCATTAGAAAAGGCTTCTCTTGCCGCAGCATTTCACCCAGAAGCTATTTGGGATCATTTGTCGCATAATCCTCGTGTCCTTTATATAACTTCAAACCCTCCAAAGGTTGAGGGAACCAGATGGGTGCAAAAAAGAGACATTAAAAATTATAATTGACTTCTTTAAGAAGCTATTGTTGAGGTATACAATCTGATCTCACTGGGTGAAAAAATTATATCTTATAACGGGGTATACCTCACAGTGCTTCAAAAGCGCGCATAGCAAAATTTGTGTAGTCTCTCGTTTTTCCTCTCTTTCATTTTCTTACTCTCTCGTTTTTAACATTACTCTCGTTTCTATTTTAGGTTGCCGATTTTGAAATCCAATATCTCGAAAACTTTTGCAATTTTTAAAAAATCTGTTGCAACCATTTCATAAATAATTGTTCTGAGATTTTATAAAAAAAATTTCATGAATTTTTATATTTTCTAAAAAAAGTTAATATGGGCGAAGTTTTTCAAAATTTTCAATCTAAGGGTTGAGTCCTTATAACCTGTGAAAAATCTATTTAGTTTTGTTTGTTTTTCATCACTGAATAATATAAAACAAAAATTAGGAAAAAAGGACAACTTTGGAGAAAGTTATGGCCTAAAATAGGACGAAATTTACCGATTTTTAAAAATTCATAACCTTGCCAAAAATACATATTGGCTTCTCAAAATTTGCAGGATTGTTTAAGTATTTTTTAACTACAAAAATACAATATTTGAAAAAAATCGGGTGAGAGGGCTGAAAGATATAAGGATGAGAGAGAGAGTTCCCCTCATTGACACTCAAACTCTGCGATGAATTGGCACTCAAACGGTATTAATTATTGGCACTGAAACGGCCTTTTTCTCTGTTTGCTATGCGCTCTCTTTCAACGGGTTTGAACCACTGTGTACCTAGCTTAAATAGGGGGTATCGCATAGGTTTAAAAATAGAAGACTTATCTGGGGCCTATGCAAATTAGATCATTTTTCAGATATGACGTGTCATATTTGTGACTAGAGTCCGACATTAGGTCAATGATGGTCAGTTAGTGGGTTAGATGTCGGATTCTAGTCACAAATACGACACGTCATAACTGAGATATGATCTAATTTGCAGAGGCCCCTGGTCGCAGCAATAACCGTGCTTCGGCTCTTTCCAATGACCAGGGGCACGCCAACACCCAAAAGCCGTCGGACACCCAAAAGCCATCGGTCTGATGGCTTTTGGCATTACAGCGTTTGCTGTACCATACCCAATAATCAACCTTTAAAAAACCGTTCATTAAATAGAGGTATTTTTGTAGGGGCTCTTTTAGTGAGATCAGATTATCCTTTGTTTTGCTATTATTTTTTAATTTATTAAAATTTATTTTATCAACTGGAATATCTTTTCTTTCATATTACGTTTGAATCTCGTTAATACGACACTGGGACCGTATTAGAAGTTACTTAAATTGAGAAAATACGATTCGACTCCCTCTCTGGGGAAAAGAATTCTACGGGGAACGATGGAGGCCTTCCCTCAGGTCTGGAGGCCTTCCCCCGCTATGCTATACTTCACTTTCCTTCCGGGGGAAGGAAAGCCCAAGGAAAAATTCTTGCGGACACAGCGCCACGGAGAACGGCAATGGGAACGAGGAAATTTTTTTAGTCTTCCCCACAGCCCGAATTTTGGTTCCCACAAAAGCGTTCCCCGCCCCATAAGATAGTACCCTAGCTAAAAAGCACATTTCTGCTGCCGCATTCAGCCGACGTGTAAAGAGAGTGAAGTGTGATGAGATGTCGTATTAGCGAGATTTTGACAGTAGTTTAAATGGTTTATTCAATAATACCTATTTATTTTGCCTAGAAATTTTTTAAATTTTTTAAAAATTTTTTCTAAAAATTTTTTTCAGCGTTAAAAAATTTTTTAAAAATAAAAAAAAATCCTCCCAAAAATTTCAAAAATGTCTAACAACAATAACAACAATTTTAAAATTAATATTGCCAATTTTTTGGATTGGTGTGGTAATAGACCTCGTATGCTTGCCCTTGTTGGGTTGCTGTTAATGTGAATTAAATTGAATTTCTTTAAAAAAAATTTTTAGTTGTTCTCTATTTATTCTATTTTTTGGAGAATATGTTGAAGAGAATTTGGGAACAAATAAATTTTTTAGAAGGCAAATACAGAGTGTGAGGAATTTGTTAAATTTTTAGGGGAATGGGTTCGGGTGCTGGTCTAGTTTATGAGTCCAATGAAGGTCGAAGACAGAGCTGCACGAAAATGAAAAATCTCAACGAAACGAAATTCATGAAAAAAATCACGAAAATCATGAAAAACGAAACGAAAATTTTCGTGCAACTCTGGTCGGGGAAGGAGGGCCAAGGGAAAATAATTTTTGCGGAGACAGCGCCACGGAGAACGGGAATAAGGAAAAAAATTTTTTTTCATCAGGTAGTAAGAAAAAAAGATAAAAAGGTGAAGTATAGCATAGCGTAGGAGCATAAGCACTGCAACATAGCTCAGTCGGTAGAGCACTTGCACATGATGTGCGGACATATCGGGATTGGAGTGGCAAAATAATTTCTTGCATGTTTACACTTGTTCTAAAACATAAAAACTTTATTTCTCAATGGGACAATATACTATCCAAGACCCAGTGGCCGTAGGTCCCGAAATCAGTAGTGTAACTGTTCGTACATTGAAATATCCCGATATGTCCGCATGCACTTGCATATTGTGGGCGATAACTCCTAGCAATAACCGCCTGAAGCTTTACCCTCCCTTATAATTTTAAATTTTTAAAGGACCCTACAATAGAAACTGATTTAAACAATCAAAAATCTTCTGATTTAGAACAACAAAATATTTGTTCTTCCATCCCAACAAATAATTCAACATCTAATTTTACAGTATCTATTTTTCAAAATTGCCAAAAATGTTCAGATTTTGAAAGAAATGCTCTTCAAATAGGTCTAAAAATTATTGTTGATTAACTCAATATTTATTTCAGAACACTGCAATCCTACTGGCTATTACAATGCCTACATTTGCACTGATAATTTCAAAAATAATTCGACTGTTTATGTGTGAGTTTAGGA